ATTATTAAAAAAAAACAAAAAAAAAACGAAGTAGATTGTTTTTGTTTCTTTTTTGATGAGAGCGTTATCCCTTTTTTAGGTATGTGCCAAAACTTTAAAAGACAACAACAACGACAAACATGTGACCAATATTGGCCCTTGGCGCAAAAGACGCAGTATGATAATATACTATATTACAATATACTTAATTCTTTCACCGTAAAATCAACCTGATGACGTTCGGGTGTAGTGGGATGAAATTTTCATTGAAAGTGCATTCCAGTGGCCGCTTTGATGGTAAAGCGTGTTCCTAGAAAAAAAAAAGAATCCGATTGTTTTTTTATACCTTAGTTTTAGGCATTTCAAAGGTCTTCGATGAGACCGACGGCTTTTACATGAGGTCTGTACGCCGATTAATAATTTTAGACTACTAATCGGTGACCTTTAATCGATTAATTAATTGGTTAATTAGTCTAATGTGGAAGCTGGTAGAGTTGTTAAAGTATTGCCAAATTAGCCTTAGCGATGCAGGAACAGGTCGTTTGATAGAAGCCACTTCATGTCATTCATTTATTTCTTTTGACATGCATTCAAACGACGCGGGCTGACGGCAGATGTAGAGGAGACGACAGGAAGAAATGCTCACAACATTTTACTTTTACTGACGTTAAATTTGCCCGCTACTAAGTACTTTCATGCTTCATTGAAAAGGGTGAGATGTGTTATTTACCTCGAAATATTTAGCTCATTCAGATATAACACAGCGGACTGGGGTGTTTTACCTATACCTCATCCCCATGGTAGGCATCAGCAACGTAAAAAACAATGGAAACATGAAAAAAAAAAAAAAAAAAAAAGAATATTCTTTAGCAGGAATCTTTTCTGGCGCTAGAGGAGGAAGAGAATTTTACGCGCAGAAGGGAGAAATGGGCGGAGTTTGTCGTGCAAGGAAGGTTTTTATGAAGGATGACCCTAGGTGCTGCATGTTTTGATGCATATTTAGGCGTGAAAAAGAAGTTCGCTGGCTGTGTATTTTTGAAAACATGGCGTCTCGGAAGAAGCAAAAGTCACACTGTGATTAAATGATCGATTATGAGTTTGACAGCGACCGAGATGATTTCAGTGACAACGTCCTCCATAAACGGTTCCGTTTTCGACCGATTCATCGGTTAATAAATTAGCCAGTGATTAATGGTTTCGTCAGTTAATCAGTAAATTAATTAAATCTGCAGCCTATTCGCGGCGAGAAGTTTGTGTATCGCCGCCTGGTGGAATTTTTTTACAACCCAGAGTGAGGATACTTCAACTTCCCTTGCTGGTGCAAGCACGTGCAATGTCAAGCTTCCTATGCACTATGAAAATTAAAACTTATGATATCCTCGTGGGTAGCACGTGCACGAGGAAAACCAAAGCGCCCTAGCGAACTTCTCGCCGCGAATAGTTCATTCGCGACTCCAGCGAAACGAACGGCACCTAGCGGTAAAACGCTGAACTGGCAGGAAAGTGGGGCTATGTTGCACGTTTGGGACTCCCAGGAGACTAGGGAGAAGGAAGTTACGTAGGTGTGAATGAACGTGTCTTAGCAACGTCTGCAGATACCGTCATCAGTGACTACACCAATCAACATCCAAAGAGCGTTGTTGACGTCACTTCCTTCTCCCTAGTCTACTGGGAGTCAAAAACGTGCAACATAGCCCCCCAGGGGTGCTATGTTGCGCTTTTTGGACTCCCAGGAGACTAGGGAGAAGGAAGTGACGTCAACAACGCAGCATATGCAGATTGGATGTTGGTTTTGTTCTCTTCTTTCAACATTTAATCTGCGTTTGCTGTATCGTTGACGTCACTTCCTTCTCCCTAGTCTCCTGGGAGTCCAAAAAGCGCAACATAGCACCCCTGGATTCGACCGCCAAATTTGCCAGATATATATAGTGGCGTCCCCTATAGGTCGCTGGAGTCGCGATTGTGATCCCAGCTCTGCTCGTGACCCCTGGTTCGCTATAGGGAGTATTCACTGGACGCCATATTTGAGGGCGCTGTGTAGAGCGCATGCTGAGAACGAGCTCACATTAGTAGAATACTAAAACCGGCAATTTTGATGGTGTGGAATGCACGTTGCAAAAGCACCGTGGAAGCTCTCCATCAGCACGTGCTCAGCAGTTGCGCACAGAGACGTGGCCGCCAGCTAAGCCATTAAAATTCCTGTCAAATAGGAATATATAATAATACTGCGTGGTTAGCAGTCGTTCAGCACCGGCTAACTCTCACTTTCTAAACATTCCTTGGCTGATAACTTTCAGCTTAGGTCCAAGCGCGGCCTATGTTATGAGCCGAAGGGCCAATCATAGAGCGCGAAAAGCGCAGCGTCATGGTGTGCTCTCTACGCTTATAGAACTATACTTTATTTCAGCTTCGGTCCGAGCGCGGCCGATGTTATGAACGGAAGGGCCAATCAAACAGCGCAAAAAGCGCAGCGTCATGGCGTGCTCTCTGCGCTTGATAGGACAAGCCGGTGGAGGAGCGCTAATAGAGAGACTGCGAATACCGGCTGGTCTTGTCAACTGCAGAGAGCACGCCATGACGTTGTGCCTCTTTCGCTGTTTGGCCCTTCGGCTCATAACATCGGCCGCGCTCAGACCTAAGCTGAAAAGAAGTATAGGGAGTTTTCTGGGTCACAATTATTGTGTAATGTCATAATTAGCAACATACTCAATTTAAAAACAAGGTAATATATATATATATATATATATATATATATTCATCAACCTTCTTTTTTTAGTCCAGTTTATTTGTGTGTGTGTGTGTGTGTGTGTGTATTTAGACGCTTAGGTTTCTTTTTAATTAGTTTTTTCTAGTTTTGATTTATTTGTTTATTTCCCGGCCCTCGAGACCCTGGGCTAGGTCGATGACCTACGACGCTGTTCGATCGCTCCAGAACGTCTTTAAGGGCAGTTGGATTAAACTAAACAGAAAAAGGTGAACTCTGTTTGTAGGGCAGATTAACGTGAATACGTTAATCTGCACTAATGGTTCGTTGCAGAATCTCCTGTAGGACATTTCAGTAAAACATTTTGAAACATTTAGAGGAGCCTTCGTCGCCTAATTTCCTAACTCATCTGATAAGTATAACACTTCTCTCTTGACATATACAGCGTCAAAGAAAAATGGCACCTTTAAATGTTGTTTTCAGCTTCTTGGCAAAGTCAGTAAAAGTGGTGTGCCAATTTTCACGGTTAGATATTAAAAAAAAAAAGTGACCAGTATCACTCTAATGAGAAGCACTAAGTTAGCGGAACATTTAAATATTGCCTATCCCTAAACGAAAATGGTGATAAGCTCGGATATGTGTTCGTGTGACTTCGATGTAGAGCCTTTTTTCTCCTGATATTGGCTATCAGAAAACGGTCGCTTCTCGTGTAAAGGCGAGAAGTAATAAAAACTCCTGGTATATTTGGGATAGTATTTCGGCATAAGAAAAGTATTGGTCGGCCCTTCCCTCGTAACTTATAATCCGGCCCTGACCACCACCACCACCCCAACTCCCGAATATAGGAGGTATTCACTGGACGCCATATTCGAGGGCGATGTTCAGAGCGCATGCTCAGAACGACCTCACATTAATAGCCTGCTAAAACCGGCAACCTAGATGGTGCTAAATGCACGCTCCAAACGGACTGCGGAAGCTCGCCGTCAGCACGCGCTCAGCAGCAGCGCACACGGATATGGCCGCCAGTGAATACTCCCTATAGTAAAACTACAGTGTAGTAACACTGTACCGTAGTTCCGACGCCTCTGCATTTGACTGGTCGTATTTAAGCCACAAGTTGTTTAGAAGAGCAGTTTCCTCAAAAGAGAAATGTTACGCTTCGCAAGTTTGTGATCGCTGAAATACACATTCGAAGAAATTTTCAACACTAAAATAGGACTTTTTTTTTTTTTTTCATTGAAAAATGAAGACGTTTGACGGCACTTGGGACAGCAGATGTGGGACGCACCGTTATTTGTGCTAGAAAAGTAAATGTCTATGTTGCTTCCCAGGTACCATTATGGCGAAACTTAGTGCTAATCGAGTTTGAGTCACGTTTCAAAAATTATTTTATTCGATTTATACGCTTCGCACTTTATAACACTTTTTTTTTTCACCTACCAGGTATTATTTTCTAGGTTTTTTTTTGTGTTTGTTTTTGCTCGTATGAACCAACTCCCAGAGATTAATCACCGTTGGCCCCATCAACGAAGTAATTAAAAGTGACTTCCCATCCAGACAATTGGTGTTTTACCTCTGTTGATAAATTATGAGTCCCGGGGATCGTAATCTTAAGGTAATGTGGTTTCTCGCAAGCAGGGCCGGCCTTACACCATCAGGCGCCCCCCTTCCCTTCCTTATACGCCCATATCTAATAGGTACGACATCGCCAGCATCACGTTGTTAGGAAACATGTGAGTAGTGGCCCAATAGGAGCGTTTTGTCAACCGAGAACCGCATTCCAAAATCGAATGGCGATCGAGCGTATAGTGTCGTGTCGGGCCCTGTGCTAAAATAAATCAAAATAGCTAAAAAAAGTTATATAGGGGGGCGTGGCTGCGCCCCCCTATTGATGGCGCCCTGGCCCTGTGCGACCACCGAGGTCGCCCACCCCTAAGGCCGGTGAAGTCCGAAAGCAACGTATAATGCTCTCTGTCAGGCCCTAGCAGCACCTAGGAGGCCTCCCTTGCCTCCCTAGTACTCCCCATATAGCGAAACATTCGTGAAACGCCGCTTTAAACATCCCTAACATCATCCCTAACCAACCAAGAAGGGGCGTGGTCATAGGAATAACGGCGCATAATTGTTTGCTTTTCTTCTAACCATATGAATACATGCCACTTGATAGGGTTGATATATCAATAATTGAATGTCCAACTCGCTATACGAAGAAGGAACAATCGATTGATTCGCGTTTGCCCGTTCTGCGCCCGCCGCACCTAGGCGGCGCGGGCGGTATTTTCCTCGTATTTCCTCGGAAGCCGCCCGCGCCGAGAGCTTTCGGTTGGCAACCCGCACGACGGGGAAGGTCACGTCCTCTCGTCTCCCCGGGAAAGGTGATCAGAGGACGCCTATTTGCTCCGCTCCCGGCGACGAAGCGACTTGCTGTGAGGATGGCGTTCTTATCGCGTCGGCTTGCTTGCTCTCTAGCGAGGCACTTCCCCAAGCAAGTAACGAAACTTGTTCCTAACCACGAAGCGATAGCAGCGATTGCACTCCGAAAAATTTCGAGTTCGCCATGCTCGTTCGCGGGAGCCGGTTCCGCCGAGGTATCCAGCATCCTCGAAGAGCGCATCCTTGGCCACGACGCCGGAGCCAGCATGGAAGAAACTGGACGTGTGCTAAGCATCGGCGACGGCATTGCTCGCGTCTACGGGCTCAAGAATATCCAGGCTGAAGAGATGGTGGAATTCTCCTGCGGGCTCAAAGGTATGGCCCTTAACTTGGAACCCGACAACGTGGGTATCGTAGTATTCGGAAACGACAAGCACATCAAAGAAGGCGACATTGTAAAGCGTACCGGAGCAATCGTGGACGTCCCCGTTGGTCCCGAACTCCTTGGCCGCGTGGTGGATGCCCTCGGTAACCCGATCGACGGTAAAGGCCCCCTCGGATGCAAGTCCCGTGCTCGTGTCGGTGTGAAGGCACCTGGCATTATTCCCAGAATCTCCGTGAAGGAGCCTATGCTTACGGGTATTAAGGCTGTGGACAGTCTGGTCCCTATTGGCCGTGGCCAGCGAGAGCTGATTATCGGAGACAGGCAAACCGGCAAAACCGCCATTGCAATCGACGGAATCATTAACCAGAAGCAATTTAATGAGGGCAGCGACGAGAAGAAGAAGCTGTACTGCATCTACGTTGCAATCGGTCAGAAAAGGAGCACCGTCGCCCAGATCTTGAAGAGGCTAACGGCGAGCGACGCCATGAAGTACACCATCATCGTGAGCGCCACGGCTTCTGATGCGGCGCCTCTACAGTACCTCGCCCCGTACTCGGGCTGCGCCATGGGTGAATACTTCCGTGACAACGGCATGCACGCACTCATCATCTATGACGACTTGTCCAAGCAAGCCGTCGCCTATCGGCAAATGTCGCTGCTGCTGCGCCGACCCCCGGGCCGTGAAGCGTACCCTGGTGACGTCTTCTACCTCCACTCCCGTCTGCTGGAGCGAGCTGCCAAGATGAACGACACCTTCGGCGGTGGCTCCCTCACTGCGCTGCCAGTTATTGAGACCCAGGCTGGTGACGTCTCGGCGTACATCCCGACCAACGTAATCTCCATCACTGATGGCCAGATCTTCCTGGAGACGGAGCTGTTCTACAAGGGTATCCGGCCTGCCATCAACGTCGGTCTCTCTGTGAGCCGTGTCGGCTCAGCTGCCCAGACAAAGGCCATGAAACAGGTGGCAGGGTCCATGAAGTTGGAACTCGCTCAGTACCGTGAAGTGGCAGCCTTTGCTCAGTTTGGCTCTGACCTGGATGCTGCCACACAGCAGCTACTCAACAGGGGTGTCCGTCTAACGGAGCTATTGAAACAGGGCCAGTACACTCCCATGGCGATTGAAGACCAGGTTGCTGTCATCTACACCGGCGTTCGTGGTTATCTGGACAAGCTGGACCCCTCCCAGATCAACCGGTTTGAGCAGGAGTTCCTGCAACACATCCGAACATCGCACAAGGACATCCTTGCCACCATCGCCAAGGAAGGCCACATCAGTGAAGCCACCGATGGGAAACTAAAGAGTATTGTTACCTCATTCATGGCCAGCTTCCAGGCCTAAATAGCTTGGCTTACTTGCACTGTTTTAAACTGCCCTTCAAACTTCTCTAGTCTGTATATAGGAGCGCTTAGGATCCGCTAGAATAGAAACCTGTGCAAGGATTAATTTATGTTGTATGGTGCCATTTGCAATAAATGTCTGTAAAGCTGATCTGCAAGATTTGGACAGATGTGGCTAAGTAAGTCAACGTGTCCTTACCAAGGGTGGCCAGTTTGTAGCTCAAGTCTGCGTGGAAAGTGTTAAAGCTGTTTTTGTTTGGGTGTCTTGTTTCTTGCATGTTCTACAATTTTTAAAAACTGTATTTCTGAAGTGCTGTTGTGTATTGGCAACTAAAGAAAATGGCCTAAAGAAACTAAAGAAAGCTTGTGATGCAATCACTTTGTGGGCGCGTTGTAGAATATATTGGAAGTTCCCATATTGAAGGACATCTGAGAACCGGCGTCAGAACTATGCAAGAGACGGGGGGGGGGGGGGGGGGGGGCGACGGCGATTTTTGCGCCCCTCCCCTGTATTGTTTCCATTTAATTTATGAACTGCTGTGGGGGGGGGGGGGGGGGCGGTCGCCTCCCCTCTTTTGACACCACTGTCTGAGAAACTTGCCTATATCTTTATATGGCTCACTTTGCTCTAGCATATGACCTCTATAACTGTTCTATCTTATTCATTGTTGTTCAAAAGTGACATTCTGAAACATTTATTCACTTAACAGTTGAACATTGGTTCCTGACTGTTTGAGGTTGATGTTGAAAAAACATTTTCCTAAGTCTTTTCAAGTTTTATGTCTAAACTGGCTGAGCATCTGAACTACAATTACTTCAACACTTTGCAGCAATGCAAGGATGTGTGAATTTTTGGCCTGCCCCCATATGATATTTTGTACAACACTTTGATATTTGTACATCACTTTGACATATACTGTATGTCTAGGTGGGGTAAAACAGTCATGAAGTGCTCTGCATATGCTTTCCATGAGGCCTCTCTGATGATTTGAAATAGCTGCATTTGATTCCTATCGACAAAATCATCAATGACTGTAAGTAGCAACCAGTTTAGGAAAACTGTCATTCCTGTAGCTGAAGTCAGCCTCAGTCCTTCCAGCTTGATGACCTGTAAGATGAGAATTGCAGTGATCATGTCAACTATGCAACAAATTTCTTCCAAATGGTTCTGTTGTTTATTGATCTTTATTCAATGCAGTTGTCGGTTAACCAAACAAGCGAGTGCATTACTTCGAGAGGGTATACAGCCAAGCGTTTTTAATTTTTTTTTAATCGCACAGGCTCTTGATAAGCTCACCGATTCCTTCCAATTTTGTTTAATTTAAATAAAGATTTTTTTTTGCTGGAATATAAAATGTTAACGTGCAAACATTTATCTCGAGAAAATGTCACGAAAATTTTAAGTCTTATAAAATCCCATGAACGTTTTGTCTAAGAAAAGCTTGCACAATTCTCCTTCGAATTTAAACGAATCACATAACTTTCGTACTATGTGACAAAACTTTTCCAGAGAGAATGTACTGGAAGTCACCAGCTGATATGCCCTCTTAATTAAAGAGAATTGGAGGTACTGTGCAGCTATACATTTCTATATTTTACCTCTGCTGTGTCACTTTACATTGATTAATTTTAAGCAAACTGAAAGCAAGTGACTGGAGTATGACAGACATGCCACAGCTGGTTCATAATAACATGTACTGAACACAATACATTAATGAAAGTTCTCCAGTAATCGCGCCATGATGCTTCCAATTACTACCCATAGGCTGCTCCAATCCACTTTGTGTCAAAGTGCTAAATGTTCAATCCTCATCATCAAAATTTAATCATCTTCAGTCTACCTTAAGATATTAGTACCGTTTCTCCCCGCAAGTGGAATGAACTATAGTCAGTGTTAGGTTCAGAGTTCAGGGGAAGCTCTTTCCACCTATTTCCCCTTTAGCAGAGCGAACGCTGGGGAGGAGGCGACCTTCTCTCCAGCGTTCGCAGAATCGAGGAGTTGCCCCTGAATTCTTAGCCTGTCACCGACACTAAAATGAGGGGGTGTCGCGATTACTGCCGGTTCGCTGAGCTACTTGGTGTATGTGAACATCATACAAAACGACATGGCGCCATCTTGTGTCTCCGTTTGGAAGCAAACCTTTGGTTGATGATATCACGAAATTTAGCGTACACCGCGGTGCACGATGCAATTTTTACCGCTGCTCATTCATTTTTTTTTTTTTTTACGTTAGACGAGCATTTTTGAGATTATATCGCGTTGAGCTGTTTTATTAGTATCAGCATCATTTGGTTATCTGATATTTTAGGTGCTAAAATGTGCACTCTTACAAAAACAATAAGACAGAATCTGGACACGAATCAACAACAGTAACGCCATTTTTGCACAATTGCGTGCAGTTTCACAAATCCCTCGTAGACACAGTAATCTCGGCTTAATTATGCACAACCCACTTCCCCCTTTTTCTACCCTAGATTTTGCACGCTACTACAGTCTAAAATTACTTCACCCAAAAAACAAACGTCACCATTGTTTTGGTAGAAACAGGCTCTCTAACGTTTCGAGATTGTTTTCGGTCTCTATTTGAATTCACAGGCTGCTTCCAGCCTACTCTAAATTGTTCGCCGTTTCCATACCACTCTAAAAATGTGTCATCCAGTTCCGTCCGCACATGAGTTGTGTTAATAAATTATATCTCAAGATACGCAATGCCCAGCACATTTTAACATTGGAACAGCCGCAACCAACCTCTAGGCTCTTCAGTTGTGGATGGCTCTCTCCAATGGCAATCTCGGTGTTCATATGAAGATTTCGAAGTTGCGCACTGAACTTGCCCTTCATGAGGACATGATGGTGTAAAGCGGTAAACTTGCCGGTCACTTTTAGACCTCGTACCTGCGTAAATGTTAGAAGATCAGTGGCGTCGAATCGAGGGAGCGGTGGAGGGGGATCGCCTTTACAGACACTTGACTGGATGAGACCGGGCAGGGAGGGCTTTTAATTGTCCCGCCTCCAGCGTGAGCTTCCTCCCTTCCGTAACACTTCGGCGTCTCTTGACCTTCAAGCGTACAGGCGCAACGAGAAGAGAAGGCAACGAGAAGGCAACGAGCGCGTGCTAGATGCTTGGCATTTGAAAGAGACGCCCCGCCATTCCTACCCTGTCAACAACTCGGGGGAAAGGAGAGGGGAAAACACTTCCGACGCCACTGCAAGAAATTATAATTGGTCGCAAGCTCAGATCAGGTCGCACTTTCGCCTGTTAGAAGAAAGGAGTGCCTCTTGCTGTTCATGAAAGGTACCCGTGCAAGCTCGCGCTTGGTGCACCCACGGCCACAACCGTATACACTAAGGGGATTCTTCAGGAATTAAAATTAGGGGGTGTGTAAAAATTTTTAGGGGGGCGGGGGGGGGGGGGGGCATTGAGAATGGAGGAGTCGGTGGGAATTAAGGGGTGCCTTCGGAAAAAACAAAAGGGGGTTTACACCCCCGTAAAGGGGGGGGGGGGGGTGTAGGGAAATCACTGCTCACACTGCACCGCAGATTATCTTAACGTTTCTCCTGTAGAAATGAGCATAACCTATTCCGTCGGCGATGACCCGGCCCAAACATCTATACATTAATATCTTCTATGGCGTTTGCATTTGCTCTTCGAAATAACCATGTGGGTGTCACGTTTGTTACTTTGAAACGCCCGCCTCGCCGCGAGCTCGAAATGCTCATGATGATCGTTCGCCATCTGTGCACCAGATGGCAGCAGAGCACCTCTACCCAGCCTAGAGAGCTTAGATTTGTGAGAGGAAACAACTCAACCCATGGAGAGCGCTTGCAAGCTGCAAGTTAATGGTGGACGCCTTCTACACAGATTGGTTGCATGTACGCATGCGTGGTCGTCCTGCGGCGAGGAGGATAGCGGGCGGGGAGGCAGAGACTCATGGCGTGGTCCGAGGTTACTGCTTGATTCCGTGGCGTAATCTCATCCATCATTGTGTCTTTATATGGCAACGAGTGCATACGTAGGGCCAACCTCTATAGCGTGCCTTCATACCATGAAACACGAGGTTTTCAAGAAGTAATGACACACCTTGTCGACAGTGGCGTCAAAAGAAAGGAGGGGGGGCCGTTCTCCTCCTCTTCCCCCTTGTTCTTAGGCCACTGTCGACAAGGTGCCTTACTGTCTCAACCCCCCCCCCCCCCTTTCCCTCAACTCCCGAATAGTTCCAACATCTAATGATGATGGCGAATGGACGTCATAACAAAACCGGTGAATGTACCGTGATCGTGATGGTGTGCATGCTTTTCAGCGCAGCCTGAGCAAAAAAGCCACGCAGATATACGACGGGGAGTGGGTGAATGTACAACAGATGTAAGAACCTATTTAAGCATTACGTGACGCGTGCACCTGGAGTGGTACGTTGAGCAGCAGTTGATCATCTGTGAGGACTACACTAGCCGGGGCATCGGGTTGCAGCTGTAGGCGGTGAAGACCCTGCAGTCGGGTGGCGGTCATCTCAGCCGTAAGATCTTCCAAGACGGGCAGGGAAACGCAGCCCAAGACCCGCCTTGCGTCATCGGACAGTTTCTTGATAAGCTTCTCGGCTATGATTTCGCTCACGCTATCCAACACCTCATTCATTCTCTCGGCTTCACAACGTCAGCCTCGGTCGGCAGGAGAATACGATGATGATAAAACACCTTTTCTTCTTTTATTTTCAGATTTTTCAAACGTAGCGAATCAAATGTTGTGATCCAACGCGTCAAGCACCGGTAGGGAGATGACCTGGAATGGGGTACATTTTTTTCCCTAACTCGACCGCTTTTAAAAGATCACGTACCCATTGTTGGATCTTCGGACGTGGTTCGGACAATGTCCCATAGCCGACACTCATGCATGCGTGGTGTCTACAATTATATATGACAAAGATGAAGTGGAATTTAAAGCCTTTGTAACCTTCTTTCGTAGCCACCATTGCTAGGATTTCGAGTTATTGTATTTTGTTTGTTTTATTTTTCTATTGAAAAACACACGTTCGAACAAGGTTCTGGAGAGCTGAGACGAACAGTCGTATTGTCACATTTGTACCCATAATTTCGGCTAACTTTATTAGCAGTCAGACATGTTTGATTGACAATCATAACGCAATGCTACTGTTGAGATTAGTGACGTAATGCTTGCAGGACTTCATTCTGCATTGGAAGATTTATTATGTTCGTATTTGTTCTCAAATGTGAAGTGTATTGCTTTTTTTTTTTTTTTTGCCTCATCTTTCAAATTTGATTAAATGCGAATCTATAAACAGTATAATGCGAGAGGCATTCTGGATCGTTCCCCGTTTCCGTACTAGATATGCACTTCAATCCCTTGTTGATAACTTGTGTTGTATTCTGTATGTGAGACACCGGACCCAGTCAAGATTCCTATTGGAAGCTTTCTGTCCTGTGTCCTCAGCAAAACTTTTTTCTAATAAAGTTCATCTTTGCCAAGTATGTTCTTCAAAGAAACAATTTGACCAGTGCAATGCAACTGCTAGCCTGTGTTTTCGAACTCGCTCCACCCACCATGAATATACTAAAGCTGAGTGACAGACTCAAAATGTGGCAATTTGTCATATCACGTACAGTGCAGTGTTCGCATCTTGCCTCTTTGTCTCACCTCCGTGAGGGCTCGCAAGTTGCGGTATGAAGTCTGTAACAATACAGATGTCCCGGTATCGTGTTGCGAGATGAGACGGATACACTTCTTCGTCTTCCGGTGTGACGATTACAAACGCTCCTGTACAGTGCACCAATAGAGATCTAACAACGCTGTCGCAGCGATGGCGATGTGGTCCAGAACTCGCACGTTTCTTCTTCTCGCGTGCGTCCATGGCACATCGATGACTGCTGCTGTTGATGATCTTGCCAGGACATTCACCGGGTAAGTGGTCATGAAGGACAATTTAAAACAGTTTTAGAGTGCCGTAAAGACTTGCGTTTGCGCTGCGTGCGAGGCACGCAAGCTCTCAGCGGAAACGCTGCGGAGCGCGTCAAACCCCCGCTTTTATTATACGGCAGAACGCAAACGCATACGCAGTAAAGCGCTGGATATCCTGACTTATATAAGTACCGTCATCGTTTGATCGTGCTGCGGGCGAGCTCCTATTGGATGCCAGCGACGCGTCGCTATTTTCGGCTCATGGCGCATCCCACATCCAGACACGCAAGCTCCTATTAATTTTCTGTGGCTGCCGGTGATGCGTCGCCGGGCCCCCCGAAATCTTTCATTTTGTTGGGACCTCCTTTCCCCCCTTCCCCTCATAAAGCATTTTGTCATGGGCGCCCCCCCCCCCCCCCCCCCCCCCCGAAACAAAATCCTGGCTACGTGCCTGGCTCCACTGCTTGTTTTCATCCGCGGTGTCAATGAAGACTCCGACGTAACTCGGGAACTGGCAGAGCTGTGTTCAGTGCACGGACGGACTTTACTGCAGAAGAGACAAGCAAGGAGGTCAGAGACATCGTCGAGAAGCTGAAGCTACCGTGGGAAAAACTCGCAAGAGCCGTTGCTTTACTACAAACGTACAGTGGCGTGGAACTGGGGCAATATCACTGCGTACTGCACCAAGAAGCGCTTTGAGCCAAAGTGATGGAGTTCGAACATGTGATGAAAGTCGTGAGGTCGGTCGTCAACTTTATACGTCCTCGGGAATTGAAGCACAGAAAGTTTCAAGAGTACCTGAAAGAAATTATGAACAAGCACATGGACATCCCGTGCACACCGAAGTTCGCTGGCTGAGCCGTGGCAATACTTTGAGTCGTTTCGTCGCTCTCGAGGACGACATCATCGCTTTCTTGGGCACAAACGGAAAAAAATACCAGAGCTGGAAGATGAGCAGTGGTTGCGAGATTCGCGATTCCTCAAAGATATTTCAAGACACCTAAATTCGCTCAGCACAGCTCTCCAAGAAAAGGACAACTTCAGTTTGGACATGGTGAGCACAATCTTCGCACTCCAAGAAAAGTTGCGCCTGTTCACATCGCAGCTTCAAACTGGAAATTTAGCACTCTTAAAACCTGTCAGAAACTTTTTCCCAACGGTGAAAACCAGAAGTCGGTGACTGCGATGTACGCACACGTCGAGAACCTTCTATCCGAGTTCCAGAAACGTTTCAAGGCGCTTGAGGTCGAGAAAGCGAGCTGCGATCTGTTCCGCGATCCTTCTTCTGCGTCCCCGGAGGACTCCGATCCGACGATGCAACTGGAGCTCATCGACCTCCAGTGGTCACCAGCGCTGAAGACAACGCGTCGCGAATCCCAGCTGCTTGAGTTCTACAAAAGCCTGGACAAGAACAAGTACGGAAACCTGGTGAACCACGCCTTGAAACTGGCGTCACCTTTCGGGAGCACGTATGTTTGTGAGCAGACTTTCTCACTGATGACTCTGAACAAGAACCGCCATCGATCTGCCATGACGGACGTGACATTGTGATATGTGCTGAAGACGGTAACGAGTGCGATGGCACCTGATATCGGAAGCCTGACCGCAGCCAAAATCTGCAACACGTCGCACTATGTACGGCCCGCACAGTGTTCAATAAACGTAATTTTGGCCCGCCTAATTTTCGCCGCGACAAACTGGATTGGCGGCGACGTCCGCCATTTTTGGCTCAAGTGCGTTCCAGCATGCACCAGCTTGACGGTACTTCTTTATAAAAATCCAATTCATCCAGTGCTTAATGCGCAAGCAGTTGCACCGTCATCTACTTGTGTCTATGTAAACTACTCTAAGCAATCCAAGGCCGGTATTCGGTCAAACGTTGCTCATACTAAAACTCTCTAGTATGTCTATCCTTTGAGTGCGGTCGTTAACAACGTGGCTCTCAACCGAAGTCTGTTGATGAGAAGTAAATGTTGATACGTTTGGAATAAGTGTGATATTGACTTCGTGCAATGCGCCATTGCTGTTTTCTCACTCTTTGTAACACGTAGCACTTCCAGTGGGGCTGCACGGTTGAGCTCTGACTAATTGACTAGTTGCATTCTGTCTTCCATTTTCTAGCGCGAAATTTGTATGGGGCTATAAAACAAACGATTACAATATATGCATCTTTTTTTGTGTGTGTTTCAGGCATCACGTTGTTTTAGTTCAGCCTCAAAGCAAGCTGCACGTGAAAACTCTTTTAGATCTAAAAGACTCTCTGGAGGTAAGCAAAAAAAAAAAAAAAAGTGTCATATATGTATTTTTACATAAAATTTAAAGGTGTAATTCCTCGCACCTTTTCGATGGCGAAAATAGCACTGTCGAAAAGCAATGCATGCTCTACACGCCCAAAGAAAACACTCTCCAAAGCAAAGCCATTCTTGTGCTTGTGCCTCTTGCAACGCTGCTCTGAACTGAGGTTCGACTGGCATTTGTGAGCCAAGGAGGGCTAATACTTGGGCCACACGGGCAACTCGAATGCCATTTACAACGAATGACATTTGAACGATCGGCCAATCAGCGCGCGACACTCCGAGCGTGGGGCGTTCCACGCGCGACAGATCGCGAGCCGATTCGTTGATCACACGAATGTCATTCGTTGTGAATGGCATTCGAGTTGCCCGTGTGGCCCAAGTATAAGTCCGTCGGCGGATCTAGAGACCTCGGTAAATTTAAGCTAGTGCCTTATACGAGATACCTTCGCTGGTTCAACTTCTAATTTCTCATAGTGCTCTGCTCCAGCCTTTTTCAAGTGAAGAACTTGTCCCTGCGAGGCTGCGCCGATCTAAAAAAAAAATAATGCGAAGCGAACAAGCAGAAAGACCTCGTTCATATCTTCTCATGAATGGAAATCCGAATGTAAGAAGAGTTTGCCGAACTTTCTTTCGCCTTTGGCGCTCGTGACGTAACCGGCTTGAAGACGCCGTCGTCATTAAGGTTGTTTCTATTTCCTGCAGTTGGATTTCTGGAACAACGTACTGGTAGAGGGCCGCGCTGGTTTGATCCAAGTACCACCCGAGAGTGTCGACGAAATTATCAGTGTTATGGAGTCATCCGGAATGCAGTACCACATCAAGACAGACAATCTGCAAAGGTATGCCAGTCTTTTTTTTTTGTTTTTTTTGTCGTTGTTTTTGCGTGCGTGTGGGTGTACGTCGTTCGGGGAGTGTCAGACACTGTATTTGATGAATGTCGCGGTTTTACTGGTAGTCGCTAAGTTTAAAAGATGCGCATTGAAATAAATCACATCATGTACAAAAATTACCAGCCATAAAAACTGGTTGAGGTTAAAAATATATGTTTTTGTATATTTGTTTATCGAGCGAAGAAACAAAGAGGGGAGCATTTGTACCATTCTTTTGCCGATCATAAGGGGAGCAATGCTTCTGTCGTGTCAGGGAGACTGACACATCTTACGCTTCATACATGAGATTGATCGTGTTCGGACTTATTCTGACAGCTAACGTCAATTTCAGTCCGGAACACCGAGTTTCATATGATTCCTGTCCTATTTTGCTTCCCGGTTATCTGGACCGTTTGACGTTCGAGAACACCACAACAATGCCTTATTACATTTTTGTACTTTATGCACGCCCTCAATCCCAATGAAATTATAATAATTAAAAATATATTAAGGACGATGTTTATTTTTCGTCTCGGCGATTGGCAAGTTTTATTAAGAAAGGCGGCGAGAGAAGGAAAGAAAAGAACTCTGAAATACTCATTTTGATATTAAATTAAGCATACTATTTGCCTCTGCAGCTAGTCCACAGTGCACTTCTTAGTTATACCTTGGCTGGGACCCTTAAACGCCCGTTCACACACTTGCGACTTCTTAAAACCAAGTGCCTCACAACCTCTTAATATCTCTTACGACCAGAGCAGAGTTCCTGTATAGGCTCCCTACGGCTACGGGAGCCAGAGTTGCGCGTTCATCCCCGTAGCGCTGTCTTTCCTGCACGGCATGTTGATCCTGCTCCTCACGTGACTGAATTCGGCGAATAGCGGCGCCGCGCGTTCAAGGCGCGCGGCGCGCTCAAAAGCAGGTGAACGTACTGTCGGGGCGCGTGCAACGTCTACTTTCCTGCACGGCATTTGATCCGGATCCTCACGTGATCGGATCTCGGCGAATAGCGGCGCGGCGGCACGTAGAAACCAGACGCGCAACTCTGCACTCTAAAAAAAGGGGGTGTAGACGTTACACCCCTTGTCACATATACGACACCCCAAAACTTCAGTTGCACGTACAGCGCGCTGACGTCGAACTGGCTGCCCCAACTTTTGCGAGAGGGTTGACGACGGTGCGACATAACATATTAAACAGCTAAAGTACGTACCAAAGTCTACAGGAAAAAAACACACAGGTCTTGCAGTTGAGTTTAGAAAACCTCGATAACTTTTTTTGCAGTCAGTCCCAATTACATTAACTGTTTTAATGAGTTGCCCAACTCGGCTATCATGCCGCCCGTGAAATTTGGTAGCGTCGGTACAACGTCAGTGCGCTGTACATCCAACTGATGTTTTGGGGTGTCGTATATGTGACAAGGGGTGTAACGTCTACACCCCTTTTTTTTAGAGTGTGGGTTCCGTGCACGCTGGCGCCATCTATTGGGTAGCAGTGGAAACTCGGCTGTCCCGTATATTTTATATTTCTCTCGCGCATCATCCTTTCTCTCTTGGCTCAAAAAGCTTTTGTCAACGTAATAAACGGCCATTTCTCATGGGTAGTACGCTCATTTGATCTCGGAAATCCTGCAAAACCTGCGCTCTATATTCCGTTTCACCCTATGTTGTACCGCAGCGAAGGCTAGAAGCGCGAGCTTATAGCATTGGCAGCTGCCCTTGGTGCACGAGAGCTTGTGCCGCCGAGATGTGCCTATAGAGCAAGGAGCTCGCGCTTGTAGCCTTTCCTGCGGTACAACACAAGGTCAAACAGAGTACAGTGAAATGCAGTTCCAGGATCACTGCAGAGATGGCGTCAGCGTGCCAGTGTGTTCTCCTGTCCTAAGAAATTTTAAAGGCTCGTTCACACATATGCAACCGAGTAAGACAGAGAGAGGCCAGGCCGATTTTTAAGTTCTAAGGTGTCGCAAGTTTCTGAACGGGCCTTAAAGCCCGGCCCGCGCTTGCCTCCGACCGACTGAGACAAGACCGGTTTTTAAGCCTTTTGTGACGGCTTACGACCGGCTGCATTGCTGCGCATCAGGTTGTAAGCCGTCCTAAGAGTCTTAAAAACAGGTCTTGTCTCAGTCAGTCTGAGTCAACCGCAAGTGTGTGAACGGGCCTTTAAAGGCCGACGTACCAACCTCGGTTTTCTGCAAGGAAGACAGTCCTGCTATCGCTCCCCTCTCCTAAGCTGCGAGGGGAGACAAGTTGGAGTAGGGTCTTTCATTCCATGTCAAACGTACCAGACGCTGCGCTCGACCATTTCCGATTTTTAAAAGAAAATGCATGGCTTTTTACCCCGAGGTCCTTACCCTTTACCTAAAATATTTTCGCATGTTTTTTTTGTTTTTTTTAATGGCGTGAGAGTGGTTTGAACTTTCAAAATGACCATAAAACTAGGCATCATTCAATAATTTCAGACTTTCTTCTAAACGCTTCACAATTTATTTTATGTAATGTGAACATATTGCGCTTGCTATATTGTGATGATTATGCCAATTTAATTGCTAAAATAGTTTCAACAAAATTCAACAAAATGCACACAAACTAGCAGATTTCTGTTCGTTTTTTTAATTATCGCTTTGCGCCTGACATTTATAACTGTTTCCATTGGAAGCCCTGTAAATGTTTTACAAATGAAAAATGTCTAAAGCCGTAGAACAAAATATTTAACAGAAAACAATTCTGAATTCGTAATAAAGCCCGTTTTGCTGCCTAAACAGCCGTTTATTTTGCCCTGAGAAGGTCCAAGCAAAATAATAAAAAATAAATCAAAATTATTTTTTTCTAGAGCGAGAAAAAATATTGAATTTGAGCTCCCGCGTCGCAACCTGGCATTGTTTCTTAGCGCCTCTTCACCGCACAACACGGCACCTGACACGAAAGCTGAGCAGCTTTGCGCGCACGCAAGGCAATATACTCTTTCCGAAATTCAATCTGGCCACTTTGATCACTATCATCATCTGAAAGATGGCATATGTGCCGTACTAATGGCGGCCTTCCGCTTACTGATGAAGGAAGTAGCTGAAGATGCTCCTAAGCAGATGATTCGAAGCCTATACATTCAAGACGCTAGCACGATGCGAAGCAGAAATTGAGTGCAAGATCTGAGGAAGCGTTCGTTTCTAACAGGGGCCGAGTCAATCTGTTAGTACCATCAAGGTGCTTCAAAGCCCCTTAACGTATCGAACTTTATCAGGGCGTCTATGTGGGTTGACGCTTGTTTCTGACTGGTTGCATCTTTGTGCCTATCGACACTGAAAGGGATCGAGAAAGAACCGTACAGTGAAGCGCACCTTCTCATTTGCCGTTGACATGCGAAGGTGATGGTGTCCGATAAAATAATTCAGACCACAGGTTCATTGTCGCCATTAGTAAGGCAAAAGTTAAACTGCCACATGAGTCACCAGGTGGCAGTGAATTTGGAAAGGATCTATTGCTGGTCGGGAGTGTGATTTTCGCAGGGGCTTCTACGCACGTGCATTTTTTACTTGCAATTGCCTTGCGTCTGCTTCGGCTGCAACGCGAACAGCGGATGTAGGGTGTGATAACCGTACGTGCCGCCTCTACATAGTGGGATCGTTGCGCCCATTGTACCGATGTCAGCTCTCCTCACTCCGAAACTCTATGCCTAATGGCGTCGGCGTCATCTGACGGGAACTTCTCCTATTACGGAGTTCGAGTTCGAAGGAATGCTTATTAAACAGAAATTACCAGAGATCAGAAAATATATGTCTTTAATTAACAAAGAATAAACAACTAACACTGGGACAACACCAGCAGATCTTTCGACGCTCTTCTTCTAAACATACCTATCATTCCTGAGCAATGTACCGTCCCAGTCCCAACTGCGAGCCACCGATCTTCAACCCGGCTTCCTTCTTCGAGGCTGCATGCTTGCCTCATCTCAAGAATAAATCTGCTCACGCTCTTCTCCCAAGCATATGTCTTCACTCTAGCGATGCAATGGCCACCAGACCTGGCATCTTCTTTTCTGTATGACGATGAGATGATGGTTGAGGAGGTGGTGATCCTCATATGTAGTGTTCCAGTCCACCCCCAGCAACGTAAGCTAATAGGGACCTGAAGAGACTTCCAGGAATATTCTCTTTGACTGGTGGTGTAGTTTGGGGACGGTCCTCTCTTCCTCGCACACCTGACACATCGGATCAGGAGAAGAAGCAAAGGGCTCCAATCTTTTAAGTTGAGCTAAGCCTATGATGTAACGAGATAACAATAGAGCGAGATCCCTACTGGCGTTTCGAAAGGAAAGGACCGACGTTAAGAAAGGGCAGAAACACAAGGGGTTTTGTTTCAAACGACCACTGACTATACTCCGTTTCACCTTACGTCCGAGCGCAGCGGATGCTACAAGCCGTCGGAGCTAATCTAAGGCCGTGGGAGTGTCACGTGACCCTGGAGAGGGGACACAGCGACGCGCGGAAGGCGTAGCACGTGCTACGCCTTCCGTAGTGTCCGCTGCGTCCCGACGTAAGGTGAAACCGAGTATAGCTGTAATTGGAAATCTCTCTCCCCCCTCCCAATTTTTTTGTTTTTTGTTTTTTTGTTTTTTTGCCAGAGTACGGTGCCATATCGATGTATGAAGCAGGTCACTCGGCAGATGAAGTCATTCTGTGGTTCGTGCGGATGCTGATGAGGCTAAGTAGAAAATTCTGATTGTTTTATTTTCTAAACTAGGAGGATAGTCGAGACCTTTCAGTGTTCGTGCCGTTTTTTGCCTGCAGTTTCGGGGTTTGTGTCATGTTCAGGATAGTTGAGTCGTGTTTACTCATCGCTAATGTGTCCCCTGACGGACACAGATGGAAGGCCCCTACCTGTTCGCTCAGGGCCCCTGAGCGAAGAGAAAGGAGCCATCGATCTATGCCCGTCAGGTCTTGAGCATCAATGAGGGACCGCCTTTGGCCTGCG